CCCCCCCCCCCCCCCCCCCCCCCCCCCCCCCCCCCCCGCCACTTGCCTCTCCTCCTGAGCTCTCAGCCAGGGCAATGCCTTTTCTGTTCTAGAAGGAAGAGAATCCTCATCTCTTGCCAGCAGAAATCAATAATTTATGAAGTACTGCTCCAGCCAGAGCAAAGAGCAATTTTTTTTAATGCTTCTTAAAATACAGTATTAACAAGTCTTCTAAAGGGTGAAAATATTTGAGTTAGGGTAAATGAATGTTTTATGAGCTGGCTGGGGAGCAGTCTCCTGAGATGGGCAGAGGGGTGGCTGAGGAGGCAGGAGAGAGCCTTGCATTCGAGCTGGCTCAGTGTCCTGAGGTTCTGGGCCCAGGCCACTGGTACTTGTCAGGGGATGGCCACGTGTGCCCAGGTCCAAGACTACTGTGAATCTTAAATTCTGGCCTCTGGAGACCTGCTGCCCTAGAATGGTCCTCCAGGCCTCCCTGCGCAGCTGGCTGTAGGCAGACTCACCTTCTGCGGTGGACTGTGAGACTGTTCAGTGAATATTTACTCTCCCCTCCTTGCTGCACGGCCTCGTATCTGCGCTGCCCCTGGATTCTGGCTTTGCCGATGGAACGTAGGGGGACATGACTCATGGCTCATCCAAGCTGAGGCTCAAATGTGCTCTCGTGAATGGCTTGCCCTCTTGGGCTCCAGCCCTGCGCCCTCATGCAGCCGCTCTTCCTTCAACCTGGGCCCTGGGATGAGAGACATGTGGAGCGGGGCTGTATCCCACCCTCAGCAGGAGCCATCACCACAGCCAGCATGCAGACGCAGGAGCTCACTGTTGTAAGACCCTGAGATTTGGGGGTTGTTTGTCACACAGCATCCATAGAAAAGTAGACACGTCCTCCCGGCCCCCCGCCCCCCACCATGTTGAAGCATCTCATTGCCCCTCATCCAGGGCCCCCACTGTCAGATTTCTTCTCTCTGAAGAGTGCCTGCTTTCCTCCTAGACATGCTCCCACCACGGAGGACAGAGCAAGCCCCCCAGCTTGTTCCATTATGAAAGCCCTTTTACGGCATCGACCCACGTCTCAGAGCTCCCAGGCTCACGGTTGATTGGGCCCAGGTTGCAGGGAGGGACACAGTGACTTAAAAAAAGCAACTGTAGAATACTAGTCAGCCATAAAAAAGGATGCAATCGTCCCATTCACAACAACATGGATGGACCTGGAGGGAATTATGTTAAGTGAAATAAACCAGATAGAGAAAGACAATCTCTGTATGACTCCACTCATATGTGGAAGATAAACATGTAGACAAAGAGAACAGATCAGTGGTTACCAGGGGAAAGGGGGTGTGGGGGGTGGGCACAAAGGGTGAAGTGGTGTACCTGCAACATGACCGACAATAATGTACAACTGAAATTTCTCAAGGTTGTAAACTATCATAATCTCAATAAAAAGTTTTAAAAAAAGCAACTATGAATTCGTTACCCTTTGAAATTGATGATATTTTAATGCACGTTTTATCCACTGTAACAGGCGCTGACAAACATTTGAAAGCAGGATACAGACGTGAAAGGTGTAGCATTTATTCTACTACTGCCTGATGCACTGTGGATCTGAGGATTCCTTGCAACCCAAGACTCTGAGGCCCTGAGGAGAGCGCAGGGATTTTGCTGTAGACAGACCGTTCCCAGCAAGCTTCTTAAGCTGTCTGGAACTCAGTTTTTTCTTCTGTAAAATGGTGATAAACACACCCAGGCTGCAGGGTTTTCGTAAATATGGAGGTAAAAACACGGATTTGCACTTGGCGGACGTGGGAGTTGATCCTTCTTTCTGTCCTGTCTTCGCTGCGAGCTCGGGCCAGATGTAATGCTGACTCTCGGCCTCAGGCTCCTCGCCTGCAGAATGGAGAGCAGGACCCCGACCTCAGAGCACTGTCGGGGGCGGGTCCCGAGTCCTGGATGTGAACGAACCTGGTGCACAGCAGGTACTAAAAGAATTTTCTCCTTTCTTTCTTCCCTGCCATCCCCATATATCTTTTCTCATGACCACGTGCAAGTCATACCTTCTCCAGACAGCTTTCCCAAGACCCCTACTCAGCTCAGGAGCCCCCTTAAGACACAGCTCTCCTCCAGGAAAGCATTGGTCACAAGCTAAAGACCCAACAGCTGATGTCAGTAACAGAGAAGACCTAATCGCAAATTAATTTCAGATCCTGTTTACACGGCTCAGCCGTGATCACGGACTCCTTTGACCTACCGTCCTGCCCCTTAATTAAAGCAATTAGCGCACTGCATTGAGTGACAGTGGGGATTTCTCAGGCCTCTGCCAGTTTCACACTCGCCTGCACACCCCGAGGACAGGCGGGGTCAGCCTGTCCACACCTGGCATTCGTGATGTGGCCAGGCTCTTGCCTAAGCGTCTCGATTACTCTCCCTAAGGGAACTGGAAATAGATTCCCACCAGGCAGGGACAAAACAAGGCAGGAGTGTGTTTGGCTGAAGCAGGGAACATACTCTTTTTAATTTTTTTTAGCAGAGACTTCCTATTTTCACATCAGTCCCTTGGCCACGGTGACCCACATCTTCTCCCCGCCCACACGCCCTTGCCTCTACCTTCTTGCTGTGGACACGGCTCTCTGTTCTGAGGACAGCGGAGGGATATGGCTATTACTAACAGCTAGGACTGGCTGAGCATCATTTGTGCTGGACACAGCACTGAAAGGCGGTTTCAGGGTGTGGAGGAGAGCTCCAGTCCTGGGCTTGGGTTCCAACTCGGCTGTGACCTTGGACAAATTATTGAACTTCTATGAGTCTCAGTTTTCTCATCAGTATAATGGGGCTGCAATAGGACCAGCTGGTAGATCTATTGTGGGGGCTAACGGAGTTAATTAATGCTTGTAGAGTGCTCAGTGCAGTGACAGGCACATCAGAAGAGCTCAAGAATTGTCAGATATCACTATGCTTTGATGATGAGATGACTTCTCCCAATAACCCCATGGAGTAGCTGACCTCATCTTCCTTTTACAGATAAGGAAATGGAGACTCAGAGAAGTTAAGTAACTTGCCCAAGGTCACACAGCAAATGAGAGGCATTGAGCCCAGCTCTGTGTAGCTCCAAAGCTCTTGCTTGCAACTGTAGGTAGAAAGCCACTCTGTGTCAATGAAGAAACAAGTGCCTCTTGGGTGTCCACAGTGGAGCCCCGTCCGATGCCTATTGTCTTCAGTGGCTCACACTGAGGTGTGAGGCCCATGGGGAAGCAGTGGGGCTGTGAAAGGACTGGGTTCAGAGCCACATCTCACGGGGTCAACCGACCAGCTCCCTGCCTCGCTGACTTTGGGCCTTTGCAAGTTCTCGGCATTCCTCTGCCTCAGGTTCCTCCTCGGTACAATGGGTGTGAACGACGCCCACCTGTGACGAAGATTACAGGACACTGGGTGCGAGGCCGTGCAGCACAGTGCGTGGCAGAGTAGACGTCCAAGAAGCGGAACTCCTCTTTCTGCTCCACTCAAGGTTTTGGAGTCGTGGGTCCCTCCAGTCCCTCTCCACCTGGGCCACCTCCCACTCTGCTGGCGCATGGGGCTGGTCCAAAGCGAGTCCAGCAGTCCCTCGGTTCCCGGCCCTTCTGCAGTGTCTTTGCTCTGTGCTTGATCTTCACGCAGCACGGGCTGGAGGTGGGTGACACTACCAGCTCCTCTCTAGCTCTCTGGGTGGCCGTGGTAAATCACTTCTTCTCTATGGGACTCAGTTTCCTCATCTGTCCCATAAATGGCTTGGCCTAGATCAGGGACCTCAGACAGCACCTCTTGGATAGGCTGCATTAGAATCATCGAGAAAAATATTTTAAAATATGAATTAATATGTAAAATATTAACAAATAAATAAAACATTTAAATAAATATTTAATAAAAACAAAATATTTAAAATGTTAATTAATTCATACGAAATATTAAAATATTTAAAAATATATCCCTGGCCCCACCCTCTGGGAGGGGCCAGGAATCTGTATCTTTAAATGTTTCCCAGGTGATTCTGACGCTCAGTCAGGCTTGGGAGCCATCAGCCTGGTCTCTAAGCTCCTTGTAGCCCCCTAGGCTGCCATTCCGTGTGGGGACCACGCTGCCTGTCTCTCTGTTCTCCCCTCCCTCTGGCAGCACCACCTCGCTCTGCCTCCCAGCCTGGGCCAGTTGGAAGGAAGAACGACTTTCCGAGAGTCTAACAGGAATCTTGCCAGAAGCCTTGAGGCAATCACAAGCTCCATGGGAACTGCTCCCATTTTCTACTGGGGACGAGGCACTGCTCAGCTGGGGAGATTCAAGCTGATGTGGTTAGATTCCCTTTTTTCATCCTGCCCAGACCCCCCCCCACACACACACAGAGGAATCTAATCTGACGTGTTCAGGCCTTCGTTTTGCCCACACTTTGAAACAGCTGGGCGCATGGAAGTTGCTGGGATGGAGTTGGGGGAGGGGACAGCTAGACTTTTCCGTTTGTGTCCAGTGGGGCGTGGCTTCCTGTACCTGCTATGGGGGTGGGGGGAGCGTCTCATAGGAAATGTGCGCTTTTTATTTTTTGAGTAATGGGGATGGACCATCAGAATGGGCTTTGACATAAGAAGAGCAACACATGATCAGTGAGAAATGAGGGTCAACTATGACAGGAAAAAACTGTTTTGTTGTTTTTTTAAATGATTTTATTTGTTAGAATCAGAACAAAATCCAAAATTTACATAAGGGTATCCTGAGAAAATGCCCCCTTCACTCCACACACTCAGTCCCGCCCCGCAGGCAACCACGGCTCCGGCTCCGCTTTCTTACAGATCCTTCCAGATGGGCTGCGTGGATAGACGCATACACGAGAAAATTACTTTTGTTCTCCTTGAAAAGGTAACATACTATAAACTTTTTTGCCCCTGATTTTCCCACTTTACTTATCTTGAAGATCTTTCCATATCACCACATAGAGAATAGCCACATTTTTTTTTTAAGATTTCATTTTTTCCTTTTTCTCCCCAAAGCCCCCCGCTACATAGTTGTATATTTTAGTTGTGAGTCCTTCTAGTTGTGGCATGTGGGACGCTGCCTCAGCATGGCTTGACGAATGGTGCCATGTCCATGCCCAGGATCCAAACCTACGAAACCCTGGGCTGCCAAAGCAGAGCTCGAACTTAACCACTCGGCCACAGGGCCAGCCCCCAGCCACACTTTTTAAACAGTTGCTGGGATTCCGCTTTACAGACAATTTATTTAATTAATTCTCTATTAGCCATTTAGGTCATTTTCCAACTTTTTCTCTTACAAGAGGTGCTTCAATACAATAGCCCTGCAAGTCCGGAAGTCTATGTTGAACCCATGGGATAAACATCTAGGAGTAGCATTTTGGGGTCTGAGGACACATGAATTTTTAATTTTAGAAGGGCCAAATTGCCTTCCTCAGAGACGGTACCAATTTACACTCTCCCCAGCAATATGTAAAAGTGTTAGCAAATATTTTCTATCTTTGCCGATTTGATAGGTGAAAAAAAATGCTATCTCCTTGTAGCCTAATTTGCATTTCTTTGATGAGTGAGGCTGAGCATCTTCTCACGTGTCTGAGAACCATTAGACCTTCCTTCCCCGTGAACTGTCTGTCTATATTGTTTACTTGCTAGTTCTGCATCTGGATTGTTGTTCCTTTTTCTTACCGATTTGAGGAATCTTTACATATTGAGAAAACAATCCCTTTGCCCTTGCTAAGAGAGGCCAGTTTGTTGTTTACTTAGAGTATTTTTTCCATGGAAGTAATTTTATATAGTCAAATCTGTTAGCCTTTTGTTTATGGCTTCTAGTTTTCGTATCATATTTTAAAAGGCCTTCCTACCCCCCAAGTTAATTTTTTAAATCTTTTAACAGTATTTTTATGTTTTCATTTTTTATGTTTACACCTTCGATGCTTCTGAGACTTATTTTCGTGTGAGGTGTGAGGCAGGGATCACCTTTGTTTTCCAACTGTTCCATGCCAGTTAACAGACAACCCATCATAGCCCCAGTGATTTCAAACATGATCTTCCCCACACACCAAACTTCTGTTACTATTTGTTTTCATTCTAGAGTTTTTTCTATTCCACTGATGGTCTGTCTATTCATGTGGTTTTAATCACCATAGCTTTATACTATTTTAAATATCTGGTAGGTCTAGGCCCCTCGCTATTTTTTTTAGAAGGTTTCTGCCTATTCTTGCTTGGTCATTTTTCTGTATGAACTTTAGAATGAGCTTAACTAATTACGAAAGGAGGACACTCAGGCCGTGACCTGCCGGGCAGGGCACACCTCCTGCCTCCTGCCTCCTCTGGTCCCAACACCTCCAGCAGAGAAGGCGAGATGGTGCTGGGCAGTTACAGGTGACTTAAGGATGTTCTCTCCCTCCTCCCCCCATAATCAAGGAGGGCTTTCTGGAGGAAGAGGAGGTGAAGAAGGCAGAGAAGGGGGAGAAGGAGTAGCATTAAAAGGAAAGATGGAAGAAAATCTCGCAGCAAGGAGGAAAAGAGGCCTCTTGGTGGAGAGGGTTAAAGACACTTCTCTCAGGGGCAGAAGAGACGAGCGAGATGAGGCCTTTTGGAAGAAGAGCCCAACCAAAGCTGCAGGGAGGCGTCCTTGTGGAGACGGGAGAGGAGTGGGTGGGCGAGGAGGTGGAGGCCAGTTGGGAGGCCTGAGCCCGGGAGGCCAGGGGTGGCCTGGAATTGATGAAAGACGCGGTTAGGAGACGGCTGGCCTGAGTCCCGCCCTCAGGGCTTTGGGGAGCAGGCTGCCCGGCTGAGTGGAAGACAGGCAGAATGCAATCAAAGCCGGAAAGGCCAATCGTCCCCCCAGGCCTATGGGTTCCCAGAGACCCCGTCTCATGTTCCTTCTGGTGACCAAGGTCCTTCCCTCCTGGGGACCCACGGCATGGGGTTTTGACTTGACTGCTGTGATCAAGTGGATGCGTTTTCTCAGGGAGGGGAGTCAGAAGCCGGCTTCCGGGAAGTCATGATGCAGTTGTGCATCCTGGGCTACAAGAGAAGCATGGTGGGGGTGTTGCCGTTTCATTAGCAGGTGCAATTCTCCAGACCAAAGAAGGCGGCAGGAGCTCAGTCCTGAGAACAGCGAGTGTAGAGTCAGGGAATGCGTCCCGATGGGGAGATGACTGTCACTGGGGAAAGAAAGGAGAGCTGTGTGTGTGTGTGTGCCGGAGCTCGGCGGCACTCACAGCCTTGTCAGATTCCAGAGAAGTGGATGAAGGAAATGAGTGCGTGGGTGAAAATGAGCCCGGAGGCTTCTCTATCTGCCCAAGGCCTCACTCCCCCAGCTGGAGGAATTCTCACCCCAGGAAGATGTCCCTGTGTGAGGACCCTCTCAGCCCAAGCAGGCCCGACCACACTGCTGGCAGACCACGTGCCATGAGCCACTTCTGCCCCGGGCGCAGCGCCCACCTTCAGAGCCCCCGTATAGAGTGGCTGAGACCCTCTCCTTCCCCTTCCCACCCTAAAGCTGGCTCTTCTCTCTGCTTCCTCCCGGGCTGGGCTGACCTGGGAGCAGGATCCCGACTGCCTGCCTGCCAGAGGACTTGACATGTTTCTTCTCTCGGCAGTTCAAATCACGGAATGTGATCAGTCTGACCCCCTCTGGAACTTTCCACCTGAAACACAGAGGCTCAGAGAAGGCACATGAGGTTGCCCCAGCCACACAGCAAACAAAGTTATCAGTGCAACCAGAATCCAGGTGGCCGGCCTCTAGCTGCAGGTCGTCCACCTGCTCTGACCCTCCTCCTCTGTGCTGTGGGGCACATTCAGCGTCCCAACCCTGGGATCCCTCCTCCTCCTGGAGAAGTCTGCCTGCATGAGGCCTGGGGTGGGGAGGACCTTCCTCCTGCAGCCGGGACACCCTGGTTTTAATAAGCTCAGGGGTCAGCGTTTTGAGGGGCTGTGTGTGTTTTCAGTGAGATTGGACAGAATGTTTGCTTTTTTAACACAAAATACATGCCACAGCTGTGAGGCCACCAATACAAACCTATAGGGAGCTAGTGGGGTTTGTAGAAAGTGTTCTTGCTGAGGAGCTGAGACTTAAGCTCTATCTGGAAGTCACTTCCTCTCTGGGGGCCTCAGTTTCCCATTCTGTAAACTGAGGGGGTTGGATTAAGGGGTCTCCCAAGGCCCTTCCTGCTCTGACCTGCTCTGATTTTCTTAAAGGGCTATAACGCCCATGAGACTGCGTCCCAGGCGCCCCCAAGGCGATGCGGTGAGGCCCTCAGAGCCTTTTCCCAGGGATGGGGGTTGGCTGGCGTGATTGGCATGAGACACTCTCTGGCCTCCCTAGGGGCCACCCCTGCGCTTCTGCTCAGCAGGTCTACCCACCAGGCACTTCACACGCATCTCATTCTCAGCAGGAATGTCGCTGCTGCAGAGGCTCCGGGGACCCAGCGTGAGGCCCCAGTCCAGCAGGGCAGACAGCACGGGACGGAAAGGGCCAGGGCAGCCGAAACCCTCCTCAGGCCAGGCCGGCTGGGCTCCTCCTGCCCCCAACACCTCCCTCCGTCGGAGAGCAGGGAGAGCATTTGCCCTCTCAACTCCTCAGAGGCAAAAACATGCTTCATGGCAGTTAGAAACATGCGAATTGTCAGAAGTAGATGAAATCAGTAACATAAGTTATGAAACAAAAGTCAAAGTTCCGTTTGTGATGAAATAGTGTAAAAAAAAAAAAAAAACTAAGAAAAACTATGAGCCCTGCAGCATAACACAGGTGACAATGACACCTCAACGATATCATCTCGGACAGACCTTGCAGACGCTCATGTGGACTTTTGGTCCATGTTAGTTTTGCAGAGCTCTGCGTTGTTAGGCACACGTATTTCTGACTCTCCCTCGATTGTAATCAGCTGTGTTTTTTCCTTGGTGTATTAGTTAGGAGAAGCTCAGGCTGCTGTAACAAAGAGACCCAACGATAACTCAGAAGATAGAAGTTTAACTGTCTCCTATAATGAGGAGAACATTCCAGGTTGGTGGGCAATTCTTCACACAGACATATAGGGACCTGGATTCCTTCTGTGGTGTGGCTCTGTTGACCCACAGCCTTGGGGTCAGTAGTCAAGGCTGGGTTTCATGGGGGCACACCCCTGTCATAGGGTCCCAGCCTGGAACTGAGCCCCTTTCTTTGCTCACATTCTACTGATGGACACTTAGCCCCAAGATCACACCTAATTGCAAAGGAGGCTGGTTAATGTGGGCCCTACCTAGGCTTTCATGTGCTCAGATCCAACTTTATTACTGAGGGAGGAGGGGATGTAAAATACGATGGGTCACTGGCAGTCTCTGGATCTTTGAAAACTGCCAAGCCAAGAAGTTTATATTTCCCTCTGACAGTCCCTTCATGAGATTATGCCTTTTTAGCATCATCTGTCCATTTATTACCGTCTCTCCCTCTTCTTTGCTCTTCCTTCCCCTCCCTCTCCCTCATCCCATCCCTCATCCTCATTCTTTCTTCCACCTCTTCCCTCGCCTGGCACAGATCTCCTAGGATAAGCAGGATGGAGCTTCCAGGTTCCGTGGGTCAGGGTGCACAGCTATGTCCCAGAGGGGCGGAGCTAAGGACAATGGTGTGCATGCCTGTCTTCTTTCCCACACTAGCCCATGACCACTTCACCTATGCTGAGCCATCCCTGGTCCAAGTGACCCTGGAGGGTGCATTTGAGAGACAGGTGGACTACACAAGAAAGAAGCACTGATTTTTCAGGCAGGAGACCTGGATTTCACGTCCTGACTCTGCCAGTTACTAATTCTGTGATCCTGAGCAGGTCACCTGGCCTCTGCGCTGAGTCTTTATCAAAAACACAGAGCAAATGCAACTTCACCTGCATACCCCAAAGAAGTCTTATGAGGCTGAAACAAAATACTGTTTGGGGAAGAGCTATGTATCTTTTTAAGTATTTTTCTTTAAATAACTTAAGCATGCTTGTTTATAGTCTGAATTTGATAATTCCAACATCTGAGGTCCTCTGGAGGTCTACTTCTGCTGTTTGTTTCATCCGCTGATTTTCACTCATGGTGGCTTATTTTCTTGTGTATCCTGTAATTGCAGGTTGTGAGCTCATGTTCACGTGGGCTTTCATTATCATTGGGAATCCAGGGAGGCCTAGGTTAAGAGTGTCAGCCCCAAAAAGGATTAGCATTAGCACCCCAAGGTGCTACTAATCTGGCCCCACTTTAGGTAAATTTCCCAGTTTTGGGTTTTCCAAATTACATAAGCAATGTACATTTGAACCCCAACCAGCAGAGGAGAGGAGCCTATGATTCCAAATTTTCAGGAGAGACTAACTTTTTTCAGCTCAGAGCCCAGTCCCAGACAGCCGTGTTTCCTTCAGTCTCTCTTTGCTGATGGGGACATCTTTTCACTCCAGATTTAGGTTTCATGCTGGGATCTCAATTCCAGCTTCCCACCTTGCTTGGGTCCCCATGTGGATTTTAAAATTCAAGACCCTATGTTAAGGAAGTGGGCTAATGCCCTGAGGGAAGCTGCCACCTTCGATGTCTTCCTAGCATTCCTACCTCCTGTCCTCTCTCATTTGGGGCCCCTGAGGACTGCCCTCACCTGCTGGGAATTCAGTGCTTCAATGAAGGGTGTTTGTTGCATCTTGCCCAGCGTTTCTAGGTGTTGTCACTGGGAGAGGTTTTCTGGATAGCCAGTGACTCTGAAATCCCCCTGTCTTTCAGACTTTTTTTTATCCCCTTCTCCTCCCCTCTTTCCTTTTTTCCTCTTGTCTTCCCCCAAGTCTTTCGCTCCTTCTTTCCACTCTGAAGCTATGCTTGTCTACCAGATCTCAACTGTTTTCTTCGTGTGTCCAAAGGGAACATTCTGGCAGGTTTTCTTCAATGCTCCTGGTTGACCCTCCCCAGCTCCTCCTTTTGGTTCTCTAGCTCCAGCCCCTTAACGTGGCCAGTGAACAACCCCAGACACTCCCCTGCCACAGTGTGTGCCCTCGGGCTTTGTCTTCTGCACAGACTTGTCAGAATCCCTCTTTATTAATTCAAAGCTCTTCAACCCATCACTATTCAACATGTCAAAATGTGCTCAGCCAGAAGCAGGTTTAGGTCAGAGCTTTTTATAATCTCTTTGCAGCTTTTCTCCTTTGAATCACTGTGAACATTACGCATCAGAAAAACTCAGAGTTTTGATCCTTAGAGATTCAAATGTCAACACCCAGCCTTCACTCCCAGCTCTTCGCACTGGCAAGGTCCTAGCCTGTGAGGGCCAACTATGAGCTTGGAAGGGCCAGAATTTGGCCAACTTCTCCTTCTTGGAATGGATTCAAGGAATGTGAGAGAATTCTGGGGTGTGACAGTAGGCAAAATTACCCAGGAGAAAAAGAGGATCTTAGGTCCTAATTTGAAGGTCATTTTTCTTCCTGTTGGCACTCCTCTCCCTACAGACTGGGCCCTGGGACCCTCATCTAAGCAGGATTCTGGGAAGGGTTTGCAGAAGCCAGACCCCCAGAGGCAACTGACAGGGACTTTGGTGCGTGTTGCCTTTCCCAGGGGACTTTCCATGGTGATAGGAGGCAGAGCCTTAAGCCCAGGGGACAGGATCCCAGGCTTCCAGGAGAAGGAAAGCCAAACACTGGGGATCAGGGCCCTCTTCCCAAGGCTGACAGAACTACATCCAAAAAGTGGGCCCTGGATTATCCAGTGCAGTCACTGTGCCCCAGCACCACACTTCATATGCACTGTCTCATTTAATGCTCATGACCACCCTATGAGCTATGTGACATTATTATCACCGTTTTGTAGGAAGCTAAGGCTGAGTGAAGTAACAGAGGTCCTGTAACTGCCAAGTGCAGAGCTAGCATTCGACCCCAGGCCTGACTTACTCTGAAACCTGTCCTCTACCTACGGTGCTGAACTGTTTCCAGGAGGCCGAAAGACGGGTGGACATGCTGACTACTACAACAGTCCAGGTAAGAGCTGACATCTGTTCGTCACACCTCAGGAGGCAGGCAAACCCAGGTGTGAAGCCCAAGGGCTCCGGAGTCAGACTGGTTGAGCTTAAACTCCAGCTGTAGCACTGAACTAGCCAAGTGACTTATGGCGATTCTCTACTCCAGCCCCCACCCCTCGCCTCCCCTCCTCTGCAGTCAGAGTGAGCCTTTAAAACACAACTTGCATGATTTCACTTCTCTGTTCTCAACCTCCAAACAGCTTCTCATACTTACTTTCAGAATAAAATCCAAGCATCTCAGCAAGCCCCAGGGCCGAGGCAGCCAGCGCTCACCCAGCCCTTCATTCTCCTCCTGGTCCCAGACTCACTGCTGCAGGATCCTCAGGCTCCTTGTAAGGGTGGGGGGATGTGTGACGGTTCTTGCCAATGGAATGCGGTGGAGGTGACATGTGTGGCCAGGGGTGAGGCAGTTGAGGGGTGTGCTCTCTCCTCACTCTTTCCCCCTCTGCCAGCCAGATGTGGGGGATCCAGTGAGGCCTCTGAGAAGATGGTACAGCCCCAAGATGGAAGGTCCCTGGGTCCCTGGGCATGTGGAACAAAACCCCTCTACCCCAACTCTGATGACACTAACACAACTGTAACATAAGCAAAAAAAATGAACCTCTGTTGTATTAAACCATTGAAACTGGACTGCTATTTGTCATAGCAGCTGTAAGCAGGCTTCCCAACTAACACAAGGCCTCGCATGGTCTGGGCCCACTCCAAACTCACTCTCCTCCCTCCCTCTCCCTCCCTCTGCCCCAGCCACTCTGGCCTTCCTGCTGTTCCTAAGACACTCCAAGCCTGTTCCCGCCCCAGAGCCATGGCCACGCTTTGTTCCCTCCTCTTGGAATGTTCTTTTCCCCAAACTTTGCATGATGCTCTTTTTCACTTTATCCAGGTTTCTGATCATATATTACTTCCTCAGAGGGGGACCCCCTGACCACCCTTTTCAAGCCGTTCCGCCATCACTCTGCATCCCTGACTCTGCTCTGCTTTTTCTCCAGAGCAGTTGTTGTTGCTTAACATTGCATTGTGTGTATTTCTTTGTTGACATATCTATGATCTATCTCCTCCCTGTGTCTGCTGTCCCTGGTGCCTAGGACAGTGACTGGCACAGAGTAAGCATTCAATCTACCTTCTTTGAATGGACAAATGAACACTTTTCTCTCTGATTCTTTATCTGTTTCATTCTCCATTTCCTCATCCATGCAATGGCGGCTGTGTATGGAGGCCGGCAGGAGACAGTGCAGGTTGAGTGTGGAGCGCAGTGCCTGGCTCACAGACACCCCAGGAAGTACAACTTCTTTGTCCTTAGGAACCAGATGGCGGAGGCTGCAGAAAGAAAGGCTTGAATGGCGCAATGGCAGTAGGAGACCCAGTTCCTCCTCAACTCTCAAAGTTTTATGCATGCCCGCCCTCCACCCCTCTCTTGTCCCCTCCCCATGGCCATCAGAGGTCTGGAGCCTTGAGGCAGAGGTGAAGAATTCAGGTTAGACCCAGCACAGGAGGACCAGGCCAGCGCCATGGGCTGCCTAGAGCAGAGCCAATGAGGGTGATTTAGGCAGGAAGATTCTAGTCGATGCCCTTACAATAGAGGGAATGGGGCCAAACCAGCTAGCTCTGGATCCTTGGGCTGGCTGCCAGCCACCAGAGCCACCAGCTGTGTGGAGCTTCACCGGCAGGTCCTTGAACTAATGGAGCGAAGTGATGGGAAGACCCAGGTTAGGCTGCACTTTGGGTGATGAGCCTCGGAATTGGCATCTGAGTGGCAGTAGCCATCGGGGTCAGGAATCCACCTGCCAGCACTGCAGCCTGCGGGAGGAGACCCAGGGGCCCCTGCACTTGTGGCCTGAGGGAGAGGGATGGCTTCTGGGGTGCCCTTGGGTGGGTGGAACTGGAGGAGGGCTTCCAAGGAGAGAAGAACACACACAAAGGCCAGGAGTTGAGAGACAACAGAAGAAGAGTGTGCAGGCCAGTTAGGATGGCGAGAGGGAGATGGTACGGGTGGCCTTAGGGTGATGGGTGGAGTCAGGACCTCACAAAAAGCCACATGTGGGGAAAGGTTGAGCACTGGGCTAAGAGCCAGGGGACCTGACTTTCAGATCCCAGGTCTGCCACGAACTGTGTATCCCCGAGCAGTTCATTTACAACCTCTGTGCCTCAGTTTCCTCATCTGTTGAACTGAAGATCGTACCCCTCACATGAGGTGAGGAGAAGAAAAAAGAGTGGATACCTGGCAATTTGCAAATTGCAAATTCAGTTCAGTTCTCTAAAGTGGACCTCAGGGAGAGGTGGGGAGAGGGGAGGAGCTGGAAGTGGCTCAGCAGGAGACCACATGTGGCCAGTGGACAAGATCTTTGGCGTCTCAGGGCAGATTCAGTCCAGACTGGGTCCCTGTGCTTTTCAGTGGGCTGTGCACAAATATTCTGGTGTTCTCTCCAGAGAACATGGAGGTACATGGCAGTGACATCCTCCATGCCTTTGACGTTCTGCATGGCTATGTGACTTACTGTGGCCAACGACATGTGAGTGGAAGTGATGGTGTCCTCTTCCAGGTGGAAGCCTGAGGAGCCAGTGCCGTGACTCACGGTGGAGGCAGACTCCATCAGTGCCCCACCCCCAGCCCCTGGATCATCCTGCCAACTTCCACCTGCAGTATCTGTATCTCTGTGTCTGAGGGCTTTTTCCAGACCACAAAAGACAGCTCTGCCTCCATGCACAACAGGCTGGAAGCACCAGGGCATCACATCCCATCACCCCCATCAGCCCTCATCAATGACCGGGTAGTTGAGATATAAATACCCCAGCTCTCTCTCCCCTCAGGTGGGCTCACCTGTAGCATGTGTTCCTCACCACGGCCCTGGGATTTCCCATGGGATTAAGTTCATTCACTCACACTGGCGGCTACCTTGATATGCATCCTTTCTTGCTGCTTTCCTTCCCCTGTTGCATTTTCCAACTCCACACCAGTGTTCCTTGTCCCTCCCAGATAAACTTTTTTCACTCACAACATTGTTTCTGGATGGCCATGTTCCTCTTTCCAGCTGTCATGAAAACCCACTGGCCAAACAACTGGCAATTTCCCAGACAGTGGCTGCTGTGTCATCCCAGGCCTGGGGTGAGGACGACTAGAAGCTGAGCCCCCAGTGGACTCACCGTGGACAGGCAGTGGGAGCAAGAAACTCACTGAGATTTGGGGGCTGTTTGTTACTGTGGCATAACCCACTCTAACTGATACAGACCCCGTCTCCTCCCCACACACTGCAGAGACACACCTAATTCAAGGCATCTTACGAGAGAGAGACCAAGATAAAGAGAAAGCACACACGCATACATTTGCTCACAAGAAAGAGACAGTGTGACAGTGTGTGTGTGTGTGTGTGTGTGTGTGTTGGGGCAGAATGGAAGGGAAAGGGAGCGACCAGTTTGAAAGGAAGACTGGCGCAGGAAAAGAGGTGCTCAGGACCCTGGCTTTGGAGAGGCAGAGTTAGAAAGGATAAAAGATCAAAAGTGACAAGGGTCAAGGGTCACATGGCAAGTTGACGGCTGAACTAAGCCTAGGATTTGGGCTTCCTGACTCCAACCCAGTGCTCTTCCCTGTGAGCCCACTGCCTCCTCTAGGAGGCCAGGCTGGCACGTGCCTTCTCTCAGGCTCCCTGGGATTGCAGGAGAAGCACTCAGCAGGTGGCTCACAGGCTCCAAGCACCTCATGTCTGGAGGACGGAGGCACAGCTGCATTCAGTTCAGGCTACAGGCCGGCCCCCGACGGTGTGTGGGAAGGAGCATGTAAGCTCTTTTGCTTGGAAGCAACACAAATGGACTTTTGCCAGCTCAAGCCAAAAGGAGGAATGAATTGGGGAGATACTGGGGCTCCTAGCTAACAACATGGGCCTTGGGAGGAAGAGCAAGGAGAGGAGCATTGGGGACCGTGCCCTGTTCCACAGACTTTCTTTCCAGGGGGTCACCATTTATGCCTCCCACGTATTATTCCCTGAGGTAAAAGTTCAAATCCCTGGCAGAAAGAACCTGACTGGTTAGCTCCAGTCAGGTGTTCTTTGCTCCAATTAGCTAAATCCAGGAGTGAGGGTGAGCGGGGAGCACTCTGGGGCCCGAGCCTGAGGACGGCCAGTTCCTGGAGAAGGGGGGGCGTGGCGTGGAGAGCGGGGCAGGCTAGGGGAGTCAAGTTTATAGACGTAGTGCTCTCCTGACGTCAACTCCCACCTCTCTCAGAAGGTCCAGCTCTTCACTTTTCCAGAGAGCAAGGGTCTCGTCACTCATTCAACCCTCACTGAGGCGAGGCTCTAACTGCCGTCTCACAGGCACCTGGTGAAGCCCACCAACCTCAGCAACACAAGGCCGAGGGGCCTGGAGCCTCGGGAGAGCCCAACTGTGGGGGGGACCCATCACTGTGGGCTCCATATCTTGTCTCTTCCCCCAGCCAGGGGGTGCTTAGGAATGCTCAGCCTGAGCCTGTCAGCACAGTCACATGTGGACGGAAAGTGCCAGAAGGTGTTTTAACCTGCTCCCCAAGTTCCTGTGTGGAAGGCTTCAGGTTTGTCAGGCATTCCAGAGCTGGATTTCATTGACTCCTCATCCCCGAGGTTCTGTCGGGAGCTCTTCCTGGAGAGGGAGCCTGCCCTCTGACTCAGTGCAGAGCTGCCACCGCGGTCCCTCAGCCCCATCTCTCCCCCTGCCCGCTCCTCTCTCCGGGTGTCTCCATAACAAAACATCCCCCTGCTCCTTGAGGGAACCTGACCAGAGGCCCTGTTGTTATTTTCACTGCTGTTCTCATAACAGTCCCTCTGGAAGGGAAGAAAAATGTCACCTAGATAAAGACACAGAGCGTAAAGAAGAAAAAAACCAAAGGGTGACATTTGGGAAAGTTTAGACAAGAATGGCCTGGGTGGGGCTGAGCCTGGGAGGCGGGAGAAGGTCAGAGCCTGGGGGATTAGGGACGTCAGAAGGCTGACATGGTGACAGGAGATGTCTGGCCCTGGGCTCCTCTTTCATAATGATCATAGGTCACCCCCTGAGCTCTGTCAGAGCCCTTCCTATATAAGAAAGACCTTCCATCCATTGTCTCGCTTAAGCTACAGGACTACCCTACAAGGTCACTACTATTATTAACTGAAATGGAAGACGGGGAAACTGAGGTTCAGGGAGGGTAAGCAACTTTCCCAGGGTCCTATATCCAGCCTGGACACTGTCCCACATCCATCTGACACCAAATCCTAACCACTAATGTTTGCTGGGCGGGCCCCTGCTGCCCAGGACCCATGTGGTTTGTGGTTCAAGCAGCTGGGACATTGATGGTAAAAAGCTTTGGGTAATCTTTATCTAAGCAGATGAGACTTGCCAAGAGAGAGAAACCCTTGTGCTCCTGGAGAACAGTGTGGCGAACTGGAAAGAAACTAGCTTGGAAGTCAGACACAATTGAGTCCCAACCCAGGCTTTGCCTCTCACTATTGTGTGACCTTGAGCAACTTACTTTACTTTTGTGCGCCTCAGTTTCCTCACCTGTAAATGGACTAACATGCCTACGCTGTAGGGTGTGCATCTGGCACAGCTCATGTACTCAGTACACGGGAAGACTGTCCCTACATTACTGCTTCCTCAGCATCTTCTCCAGCGTGCAGGGTTTCAGAGCCTCAGCACAGCCCCTGATGACTTTTTCTGCCAGGGTCCATCAGATGGGACAGAACTTTCTGACTGGGAACCAGCTGCAAACCCACACAAGCCTCCCCCTCCCCCTGATACAGACTTAGCTTTGCTCCAGCCTCTGGAAAAGGGTAAAGAGGGCACTTACTGGCTCAAGTATCCAAACCACTGGCTGGGCAGGAATGCTGCCCGCCTCAGGGATGACTAGAACCACGGCCTCTGCGGCCACCAGGCCTCCCTCCGACTATCTTATCTCGGATCCTCTGGGAGTCCGCTCTGGCTCAGACAGCTTCTCCCACGCTGCTGTTCTAAGGCTTCAGATTCCCAGTTTGACCACTGAAAACCAAAACTCTTCTCTCCAATTCCAGTTACAAACAAACAAATAAGGAAAGACTCCAGTTGGGTAGGCTTGGGTTATCTATCACCTTCTGGACCAATTATTGAGACCGTGGTAGAAAAGTACCGTAATTGGCCAGGCTTGAATCAGGTGATCACACTTAGACCAATCATTTTTAGCAACATGGCCACTCCCATTCTGATACCCTAACTAGAGCAGGAATGGCAGTGCTTTGCTCAGAAAAAAGGGGGAGAAATGTTTTGGGCAAATTAATAAATATCTTTTATTTTTTCAAATCCCAGTTCTTTCTGCTTCTAGTCGTTTGCATCCAATACTGACGTGCCACTACAGAAATTTACATTCTGCCTCCTATCCTGGTGCCTAGGTTTCTGCTTTCTGCCCGCTGGGCACAGCTGGCATGATGAATCAGCCAGGTTTACAGGTCTGATGGGTTTTCCTGACTTCAAGGAAGCCCTCCCTTACTCTGAGTATCTTAAATGTCTTCCCTCCTCTGTGTGCTGTGTTAGCAATTTCACTATTAGAGATTCACTTTTTAGCTTAACTGGACTTGTTCCCATTAAAATCCACATCCTCTAGTGAGCAGGCACTCACTATCTGAACAGTTATCTATGATTTGAAACTAGAGGCTGTATCAGCTTTTTTCCATTTTGGCAGGAGAAAGAAGGGAGGGGGCTGGAGAGGACTCGCTCGAGGCTGTGTTGGAGAGAGGAAGAGACTGGATGCAAAATGAGGAAGCTGACCATTCTCCTGATTCAACGAGTCTGTTCTAGGTGAGTCCAGGTGCCTGTCTGGGAGCCTTGGCCATTCGTATTTCATCTTGGAGAAGCAGTAGCTGTTTCCCTTTTTTTCTCTCTCCCAAGTTTAAATTTACTTATTTAAACTTTTGTATTTTGAGATAACTGTAGATGTACATGCAGTTGTAAGAAATAATACAGAGAAATCCCATGTGCCCTTTGCCCAGTTCCCCCAACGGTAACGTCTTGCAGAACTACACCATAATCTCATAACCAGGATACTGACATTGATGCAGTCAAATACAGCACACTGCCGTCACCAGGGGGATCTTCATGTGGCCTTTTAGAACCACACCTACTTCCCTCTTGACCCTTCCCTCTCTTTCACTGGTGGCAACCACTAACCTGCTTTCCATTTCTATAATTTTGTCATTTCAAGGATGTTATACAAATGGAGTCACACAGTGTAACCTTTGGGGATTGGCTTATTTCACTCAGCATGGTTCTCTGGAGATTTATCCGGGTTGTTGTGTGCATCGATGGTTCATCCCTTCGTACTGCTGAGTACTATTTCATGGTAGGATATGCCACAGTTTATTTAAACACTCCTCTGTTGAAGGACAACTGAGTCATTTCCAGTTTGGTGCTGTTACAAATAAAGCTGCTATAAACATCTGTGCAGAGTTTTTTGTGTGGACGTAAGTCTTCATTTCTCTATGCAAAGGACCTGATACTAACTATTCTAAAATAATTAAAAATTATATATATAATAATTTGTCCAGCATCCATTTATGATAAAAACTCTCAATAAAATAGGTATAGAAGGAAAGTACCTCAATGTAATAAAGGCCATATATGACAAACCCACAGTCACTGTCATACTCAACGGTGAAAAACTGAAAGCCATCCCTCTGAGAACAGGAACAAGACAAGGGTGCCCACCCTCGCCACTCTTATTCAACATAGTACTGGAGGTTTTAGCCAGAGCAATTAGGCAAGAAAAAGAAATAAAAGGAATCCAAATTGCAAAGGAAGAAGTGAAACTCTCACTATTTGCAGATGACATGATTCATATATAGAAAACCCTAAAGAATCCAGTAGAAAACTATTAGAAATAATTAAATACAGCAAAGTGGCAAGATACAAAATCAAGATACAAAAATCAGTTGCATTTCTATATACTAATAACAAACTAGCAGAAAGAGAAGTCAAGAATACAATCCCTTTACAATTGCAACAAAAAGAATAAAATACCAAGGAATAAATGTAACCAAGGAGGTGACACATCTATACGATGAAAACTATAAGAGATTCTTGAAAGAAATCAAAGAAGACATAAAGAGATGGAAAGATATTCCATGCTCATGGTTTGGAAAAGTAAACATAGTTAAAATATCCATATTACCTAAAGCAATCTACAGATTCAATGCAGTCCCAAGCAGAATCCCAATGACATTCTTCACAGAAATAGAACAAAGAATCCTAAAAGAAAAAATAAACAAACAGGACTACATCAGACTAAAAATCTTCTGCAAGGTAAAGGAAGCCATCAACAAAAACAAAAGACAATCCACCAACTGGGAGAAAATATTTGCAAATCATGTATATGATAAGGGGTTGATTTCCAAAATATACAAAGAACTCAGACAACTCAACAACAAAAAAATAAACAACCCGATCAAAAAATGGGCAGAGGATATGAACAGATATTTTTCCAAAGAAGATATACAGATGGCTAACAGGCACATGGAAAGATGTTCAACATCACTAATTATTAGGGAAATGCAAATCAAAACTACAATGAGATATCACCTTGCACCCATCAGAATAGCTATAATTAAGACAAGAAATAACAAGTGTTGGAGAGGATGTGGAGAAAAGGGAACTCTCATATACTGCAGGCGGGAGTGAAAACTGGTATAGCCACTATGGAAAACAGTATGGAGATTTCTCAAAAAACTAAAAATAGAAATACTATATAATTCAGCTATCCCACTACTGGGCATTTATCTAAAGAACATGAAATCAACAAGTCAAAGAGATTTATGCACCCCATGTCCATCGCAGCATTAGTCACAATAGCCAAGATGTGGAAGCAACCCAAGTGCCCATCAACAGATGAATGGATAAAGAAAATGTGATGTATACATACAATGGAATACTACTCAGCCATAAAAAAGGCAAAATCATGCCATTTGAGACAACATGGATGGACCTTAGGGTATTACATTAAGCGAAATAAGTCAGAGAGAGAAAGACAAACACCATATGATTTCATTCATATGTGGAAGATAAGTAAACACATGGATAAGGAGAATAGATTAGTGGTTACCAGAGGGGAAGGGGGTGAGGGCAGGGTGAAAGGGGTAAAGGGGCACATATGTATGGTGACAGTTAAAAACTAGACTACTGGTGGTAAACACAATGCAGTCGATACAGAAACTGATATATAATAATGTACACCTGAAATTTACATAATGTTATAAGCCAATATTACCTAAATAAAATAAAATAAAAACTTATATATAATAATATATAATATATTGTATGATATAATAATAAATTATACACATAATTTTTAATCGTTTTGGAATAATTTTAGATTTACAAAAAAGTTGCAAGAATAATACACAGTTCCCTGATGCCCCTCATCCAGTTTTCCCTGAGTAACATCTTCCATTGCCATGGCACATTTGTCACAACTAAGAGATGACATTAATACACTACTATTAATTAAACTCCAGACTTTATCTGGATTTTACCAGTTTGTCCACTGATGTCCTTTTTTCTGTTCCAGGAGCCATTCTTGGATCCCACATTGCATTTGGTCATGGTTTGGTTTTGTGGTTTTTGCACTAAAGCCTCAGGGATGTGGCAGAAAGCTAGAGTGGAGGTGAGAGAGACTTTTAGAAAACCTATGGTATAGTTTACCTTTAGTAGAATTCAGCCTTTATAGTGTACAGGACAGCGGGTTTTGATAAATGCACACAGTCATGTAGTCGCCACCACTATCATGATACAGAGCATCTCACCCCCAGCATTCCCACCTGCCCCTCAGTAGTCAACCCTTCCCCCGTCTTCAGCCCAGACAACCGCTGTTCCATTTTGATAGTTTTGCCTTTTCCGGAAAGTCATATAAATAGAATCACACAATATGTAGTCTTTTGGGGTCTGGCTTCTTTTCCTTATTAAAATGCATTTGAGATTCATCCTTGTTGCTGTTTGTATCAGAACTTCGTTTCTCTTTAGTGCGGAGCAGTGTTCCATTGTATGGATATGCTGGCTTGTTTATCTGTTTACCAGTTGAAAGACACTTGAGGGGCTCCCGGTGTTTGACAATTGTGAATAACGTCTCTACAAACATTCCCACACAGGTTTGTGTGTGTACATAGTTTGCCTTTCTCTTGGGTGAATACCTATGAGTAGGATTGCTGGGTTGTGTGGTGAGTGTATGTTTAACTTTATAAGAAAGTGACAAATTGTTTTCAAAACTGGCTGTACGACTTTGCATTCCCGAAAAGCAAGACGCATGAGTTCCAGTTGCTTGACTCAGTCAGCACTTGTTATTGTCAGGTTATAATTATTGCTGTTGTTGTTGGTATTTTAGCCATTCTTTTTGGTGTAAGTCTCAGAGTTTTATAGCCTTTCTTTCTATCTCTGCTGTCTCAGGATTCTCTGGGTACTAGAAACTTCAGGACTGCAGTTTTTAGGAAGGGTGACTGTCAGCAAGTGTGTTGAAGAGAATCAGGACAAGGCAAAGGCAGGCGGGCACTAGGGCACGGGGCTGGCAGTGGAGCGCCTGGGGGAGGCATCCAGGGTGGCAGGACCTGAAAGACCTGGCCTGTCCACTCAGGGCTTGTTGGTAGTGGGAAAGGGTCTCTCGGGGCCCAGGAGGAGGCCCCACTGCCTCGGCACCTCCCCAACCTTCCAGCCATTTCCCACAGAGAGAACGGCAATCTCCTGGGATCCCCACAGGCTTGAGCGGGGAGGAGGGGCCTGGGAACCAGAAGCCTGGCTTGCGGCCCAGTTGTGTGACACCTGAATCTTGGGGAGGGTGGCTGAGGGACCAGGTCCCTGGAGCCTCCAGGGACAACTGGGGACAGGGAGGGGCAGCTCAAGTTTCATCACTGCTTGGTGTGTGACCTGGGCTCTGACTGGGCAGCAGGATGATGCCAGGCCCTGGCCCCTGCGAAGAGACACCTTTCACCAGGAAACCACCGTCCTTTCCCAGCTCCACAGGCAGTGCCCCGGCCCAGACTTTAGGTCCTGTGGTCTAGAAGTGAAGGGACCAGAATTCAGTCAGGCCCCAGGACGGGAGCCTGGAGAGTTCAGGCGGGGGAGTGTGGGGTGTATGTGTGCCTCTGTGTCACAGGCGTCTGTGGCACCGGGAGGGTGTCGTGGAGGGACCAGTAATCTCCAAATATTTGTTTTCAGTTTGTGAGCTGTGTGACCTTGGATAAGTAATGTAGCCTCTTTGGGTCTTGGTTTTCCTTATTTTTGACTCAACGGTTTGGACTTGCATGATTTCCAAATTTCACTGAATATCAGCATCACTGGGATTTGTTTTAATAAACTACAGATTCCTAGACTCCACCACAGACCTACTGAATCAGCATCTCTGGGTCTGAGGCCCTGGCACGAAGGAGTTTAACAGTCTTCTCAAGTGCGTTTTCGAGAGGCCAGCAGGGAACGGACATCTCTCGAGAACCACGACCTAGAACTGCGCTAAATCCAGCCTGGGGCAGCTTGTGGCGGAAGTTACGGAGGCTGGTCCAGGGAGGTGGGAGGAGCCAGAGGAGGGGAGCCAATCAGTGACCTGACCAGGAGGGAGGCGGAGCCAGAGGGGGACCCAGTTAGGAGAAGGAGATGCAGCAGGCCTGGGATTCATCTTGTGAGGGAAACGCGGGGCGTATTCTGGTCAGGGAGAGAGGTGGGCTGGCGGCCAGGGAGAGAAGTTTCTGAGAAGAGAAGCCAAAGTACTTTGGCAACTGCCATCTGGATGTGGCTGCTTGCACCATGAGGCAGTGAGAAGGGCATCACGTTTGGGGTTCGGGAGGAGGAGGAGACAGTGGGGACAAGGGAAGGGGATGCGGGCATATGCCGTGTCTGCGTGGAGCCCCAGAGCAGGTCTAGGAGAAGCTGCCTCTGCCTTGAGGGGCACCATAAGCCCTCCAAACCCTGAATCGCTCCTGGGGATAAATGGCCTCTCGGGCCCTGGCTGGTCCACCCCCACTGACCCTGGCTCCACTTTGAGGACCCGAGTTCTGGTGTGCTGCTTCCTGGCTGTATGACTGAGGGCAAATCCCTCAACCTTTCTGCTTCTGTTGCCTCGTCTGTAGAATGGGGATAATAATGACACCTGCCCTACCCCTCACGGAGTTACTGTGGACATCACTTAAGATGAGGGAGGTGACAGTGCTCTGCCACCTGCAGCATGCTGTACAGTCAGCTGGGAGTGGACACTGACAGAACCCCAGGAAGGAGGGGTCCATGTCCCTCCTCTGCCATAGCTGCAGCGTCGGTACTTAAAGCCACACAAGTGACTCTCCTTTTAAGTTGTTATGGTCACAGATAATGTCCCTTTGGTGCCTCACCTCACTTGAGAGGGAACAGCTTTTGGGTTGATCCTTCCACACTTAAAATTTTTTTCACATGTATGCATGGGCC